CAGGGACTGCCATTGACCCTCACAGCTGTCTGGATCCTTCCCGTTTGGGCACAGATCAGGACGTGCCTGCACCCCGCCGTGACCCCTGGGCTTGGCCGAGGCTCCTCCTTGCCTCTGGTGCCTGGCAAGCGCCGTGCAATCGCACCTCCCAGTATCGCCGTCCCAGCAGTCTGCATTCGGGGTTGTCCACGTTGGAGATTGCACCCAAACCCTCACGTTTACAAGACATCCTTCTGCATTGTGCAGTTTCTGCACTCAGTGTGCAGATGATGTTTCACCAGCAAAGCGCTCCCCGATGCATCCCCTCTGGGGGGGTACTTTCTGCAGACCCCCGGTCGTTGCCGGCCTGGCGGTGTCCAGTCCCCAGGGCAGGTCTGCAGGAGCTGGAGCTGGTTCCAGCCGGAGGAAAAGTGTCTGGGTTGCTCTGTTGGGAATGGGAATGGACCTCGTTCAGAGGGACTGAGGGGACGTGGTGACTTGTCTCCATCAGGAAATCCCGCAGAGAGAGCAGGACCACACAGAGGCAGCCCCTGCCACCGTGCCGGCAAGGGTGCCCCGGAGCGCTGACGGAGACGGGCTCGTGTCACGAGGAGAAGAGGTGCCAGGGCTGGGGCGAGCCAGGACGGCGAGCAGGCAGGGGGCTCGCACCTGGGGGGGCTGTGCTTTACGGGCAGCCCTGCAGGAAGAAGGGGGGTGCAGCCACTGCGTGGGAGAGGCTCTGGAAGGAGCAAGGGGGGAACTGCTGGGATGGTGAAGGGACACGGCTGCACAGCACCATGCACGGTGAGACAGGCGCTTGGAGCGGGTCGGGACAGCGACAGCACAGAGAGAGGCTCAAATACATGAGCCATGAGGGTCTTCACAGCAATCCCGGGTGCCAGTTCGGCACAGACCTAACGGCTGAGCGATTTCCCCGTTGTGCAGAGGATGATGTTCCGTTTGCGTCCTGGCAGTGCTAAAGGCGCCTGCAGCGGAGCGGGCTCCCTTGTGCTGGGCGCTGCGAGGTCGTGGGAGAGCTGCCTGCAGTGGATGCCTTGCAGGTTACTTTGCTGTCGCTTTCTCACTTCGTGGCAGGAGGCAAAAAGGGAGGATGAGGAAACACCACCCACTTTGCCACCAAGGCCAGCAGATCTGGGTGAAGAGCTGTGCAAGATCCCCAGCCAGGATCAGCCCATCTACAGTGAAAGTTTGGATGTCAGTGGAGACTATGAGGAGCTGCCGGAGCCCTCTGACTACTGTGACGGCACCAGCGGAGGGGCTGACTATGAGGAGCTGCCAGCCCCCGCGGATGCCATCTATGACCAAGGAGGAGACGGGGGTGAGGACTATGAGGAGATCCTTCCCGAGGAGCCCAGCCAGAGCCAGCCCCAGCTGGGTGAGTACTGACCCCATGTCTTGGGGAGCTGGTGTCTGTCTGCTCACCTCACCAGAGCTATGGGACAGACTCCAGAGGCGATTTGTGTCCTGAAGTCTGCTGTGGTCGGGGTAGCAGCCCGTGATGGTGCTGCCCTGTGCCCTGGTGCTCATGAGACCTGATCTGGCAGTGTCTCCTGGGGCTGAGGAGTGCAGGGTAGTCTTCCTCCAAGCACACAAGCAAACTGTGTGGGCTGCTGTTAATGTTTCTGTCGCAGCTTCTCTGTCACTGGAGCTGGGAAGTGGAGGCTGGAGTCATGTCCAGCCTTTTTCTTGGCAGAGGAACGTGACGCATCAGGCCCCCACCTCTCTCCGTGCAGGAGGGGAGAGGAGTCACACCTTGCTTTGAGCCCTGGTGCACCTCTCCCATGTGCAGGGGTCCGTGGGGTTTGGATGTGGTTCCCCCCATGGCTGGCAGCTGGGCGGAGGGTGGCCCTGGCCAGATCCATGTGTCTGCTTTCAGCCTCTTTCTCACCTGCCCGTCCTGTTTTCTGCAGGGGAAACGGACAATGTTTATGAGGTGGAGAGCCCTGGGACCTGCGCAGTGGCTCTCTACGATTACCAAGGAGGTGGGTCTGCCGTCCAGGCTGTGGGGAGAGGTGCTCGGAGCTGGGGCGGTGGGACGGGGAGGCGGTGGCTTACACCATCAGCAGGGGTGGAAAGATTTTGCCTGGATGGCTTAGATTTCTTCCTCTTGGAAAGCAGAATGAGACCTGACTGGGGAACACAGAAGCTTCATCTCAGCTGCAAAGTCGTGCTCCTCCTCTGCTCTATCGGTGCTGTTTGGGGGTTGGGTGGGATGAACTCTGAGGATTATCAGAATGCCTGCTCTGGTTTCTCCTCCTGGGGGTGGCGGTGGCAGTGGGAGGAGGGTTGTAAAACCCACCCTCTCTGGGGTTATCGTTGCATTGTGATTACCTTTTCCGAACGTTTTTTGCAGAGGGAGATGATGAGATTTCTTTTGATCCGGACGACACAATCACACACATCGAGATGGTGGATGAAGGCTGGTGGCGGGGGCAGTGCCGGGGCAGAGTTGGCCTCTTCCCAGCAAATTATGTGAAGCTTTTGCAGTGAAACCAGCATTGTCCACGCTGCTTCCTTCCAAACTTCTGCCTCTCTGCGCTTCAGCCTTCTACCTGTTATTAGCTTAATGTGGGTCGGCCTGGCATGTCTGCATGCAAGAATTACCAAGGAGAAATTGGCGGTGCCTGGGGGAATGTTTCCAGGGTTTGGCTCAGCCTGTTCTCTCTGCCGGGGGTGGTTTGGGTCCCTGTGCTGCAGTCCAGCCTCCCCAGGGTGGCCAGGAAACAGTTAACGCCTCGTAGTCCTTTGCAGGACTCACCAGTTAAGTATTTGCAGGTAATGGGCTCATCAGTTTAATTAACAAAGGAGTGAATTATTCATTAGAGGGGTGCTGGCAGGAGCCTCCTTCTCTGCAGAGTGCTGTTGTGATTTACAAATCCTGCTTGCCCCAGCAGCTGGGTGAAGGAGGGCCTGCATCACCCAGAGGTGTACAAACTGCTGCGTGACGGTATCTGTCAGCAGCGTCTGTCACCCTGCTGCGCTGTGCTCTGCCTCGGCGCTGCGGTAATAAACTGCTGCTGTTCTGGCCTGGCTGAAATCGCATCCCCGGTGTGTCCCTGCGTCTGCTGTATGCCCGGTTCCTCGCACAGCGCCCTGATCCCAGCCCTCCTGCATCACAGGTGTGGGGAAAAGGCTGAGCAGGAAGCAGGACAAGGGGATTTTTTAATTTTTATTTTTAATGTTTAAAGCAATATTCAGTAATAACCCAGTGCAAACTGAAGCCCTCCCTTGAACCAGAGTATTCAAGGCTAGATGCTCGACATGCCAGCGTAGGAGTTGGCTGTTCCTCCTCTGTGGTGTGCAGGCACCGTCACAACGGGAATAAACCGGGGGCACCAGGTAGCACAGCGGGTGCGGAGCTGCAGGAGCACGCCCCAGGGCAGTGCCAGCCGCCAGCAGCGGGGTGCAGAGGGTCCCTTTAGGGGACTCCTTTAGGGTTCACTGCGGCTCACAGGCTGGTTCTGGACCGTGCTGCACTTGAGCAAGGCTGGGCTGCCTGGAGGAGAATCCAGCATCCCTGCTCAGTGTTTGATACTGAGAAAAATCAGCCTGTGTCTGTCTCATGGGAAAGACACCTTGTGATTCAGGTTAGAAATTGTCAATTTCCATGTAAATTTTCTGGAGGTTTTTGGTTTGGGTTTTTGGTTGGTTGGTTTTGGGGATTTTTGCTTTTGTTGGTTTGTTTGTTTTTTCTCTGAAATAACTTTGCCAGTATCATTTCCTCATGCAGTTCGCCCTTTATTTCCCGATGTTCCCTTCCAGAGGGCTCTCCAGAAGGGGCCTCACTGTGGCAGACCCTTACTTGTCCTAGGGACACTCTGAACTAAGGGTGTTTCAGTAATTTTGTACAATCAAGAAGGTTGTATGGCAAGCAGAGCTGGCTGAGAGGTTTGCAACCTGTGTGGGCAGGAGCAAAGGGCCATCCCAACACGTGGGTTACAGGAACATTTTTTTCCCTGATGAATAAAATCAGTGTGCGTCGTGCACTAAGAAGAACTGGCAAACTGCTCCCTACAAGCTGTATGCCTCATAGCCCCAGTTTTTGGCTCTCCAGTAGGTTTCTTTGGGAGCAGACTGGATTTTGCTGGGTACCTCTTGGTGACTGAGCCATGGATGAGCACCTTTTGGCCCCTTCCAGCCAGCGTGCCCCTCTGCGGCCCCGCTGCAGACAGGCTGCTGGGGCCGGGGGGGCGCCCCTGGGGTTGGGCGCCCCCCCAGCCTGTGCCAGTGTCCCTCCCATGCCGACCCTTGCATGGGCTGCTCCTGGCTTCTGCCGGGGTGTTGGACACTGCTGGCCCTCTTGCACTCGCCTGCAGATTCGGCCAGTGGTGGGATTACCCCGACACCTGCGGGATGATTTGAGCTTAGACGGGAAGGTGAAGCAGAGGCAGTGGCAGCTGGAGGAAGCTGGCTGTCCCCCATCCCCAGCCAGCCCTCAGCTGCTATCGTCCCCAGCCACCCCCCTCAGAACAACTGCACTTTGGGTTTTTTGTGGCTATAAAGCAAAGCAAGCATTTCTGGTGAGGATTTAAGCCGTGCCAGCTCACAGCTCAGTGCTGATAACTTGCTGTTTGACCAAAGCACTGACAAGGAAGGGTGGCCTGTTCACACTGCTGGCTGCTGTGCTAAGGGACGAGACCCTACAGAGCTTTCACACAGCCTGGAGAAACCCAGCAGACACCGGGCTCAGTGCCGATGTGGAGAGAGGATGGTGCAACAGCCTTTGTGGAGGCCAGGTTTTGCAATTCAGGACGGTGCCCCTTGTCTCAGGCAGAGCCTGGCTCAGCACCTCGGCAGCCTCAGGGAAGAGCTCATGGCCTCGCTGGGGACCAGTGTGTGTTTGATGCCACATGAAACTGCTTTTCACAGCGTTCCCTGGCAGCAGCGCAGCTGCATCAGCTCCTCTGCTGAGCTCAGCACGCAACACTTGCAAAATAAAGGCATAATCCTGGAACTGCAGCCTTGTTCCCAGCTTGGTTTTGCCATTCTGCCATTAGTGATGTGCTGAGGTCAGAAAAGCGATGGTGGTGTGCCACAAGCAGCCACTGCCTGGGTGGGAGCCCTGAGCCCGTGCTGCCATCAGAGGTTCCCCACGGACGGGTGATGCTGCACCGGAGCCATGCCAGCACACTGCTGCAGCCCTGGTACCGCTCATGCGTTGCCCCCCAGGGACCCCTGTGCACCCCAGCCCCGCACAGCCTTCCTCAGGGCCCCCTGCACCTCCTGGTTGCGGAGGCTGTAGATGAGGGGGTTCAGCATGGGAGTGACGATGCAGTACAGTGCGGACACCAGCGTGTCGGCCGCCGGCAAGTAGCTGGGCCGGTTGTAGTTGAGGTTGGCCATCACGAAGCAGAGGGTGACCACGAGCAGGTGGGCAGAGCAGGTGGAGAAAGCCTTGTGCGGGCTGGTGGCCATGGGCATCCCCAGGATGGTGGCCAGGATGCGGAGGTAGGAGATGACAACGAGCAGGAAGGGGCTGAGCCCCACAAAGATGCTGGCGGCGTGGAGGGCCACCTCGCTGGGTCGCGTGTTGCTGCAGGCGGCCCGCAGCAGCGGGGGCACGTTGCAGAAGATGTGCTGGAGCCGGGCGG